CTATGTATTGGCGCTGATTCTAATGGAAAAAACATTGCGCATTGTTCATCCTTTTCATCAAAGATAGCAATAGGAACGAAAAAGTATCAGCAGCCAATTGTGCACAATTAGGTGACAAAAACCAAAGTGAAGATATACATGGTGATGCCCGAGACTCTAATATCCATTTGAGTAAATCAATGTCGTAACCCAGCCAGTCTTTATAAACTTCTATACGCTTATTCAATTGACTATTCATAGCCAGTTTAACAAGATTCCAGTTTTCTTCATTTCCTCGAATGGCAATAGCAAGTGCTCTAAATCCACAGTTACCGTCACTTTTTGGATTACATATTTGATCTACATCATCGACAGGAATTCGAGAATTTAGTAAAATTTTTGGCCTTTTATCTATAATAATTATAAGTTAATGATTTGTATATTAATATGTTATTTTATGTTATTTTAAAAGACACATTACCTTCAATATTAAGTGCTGAACCATTTAGTAAAGAATTTGAAGAATTAACATTTTCAATTGGTTTTTTTTTAACAACACCGACTTTCTTTTTCTTCTTAGCTTCCATATTCTCTAATGCAATTGGTAATCGTTTAGTGCCACAAGGGCGTCCTTTTCCTGTAATTTGCTCTGGAATCTTTATTTCAGAAAGTTTGACTTCAGGTACTTCTAAAATGCCATCAAGTTTACTTAGAAGATCTGATTTTTGTTGTTCATCCAGAAAGTTCATATATCGTGTTTCAATTTTATATAATCGAGACTTTAGTGAAAAATTATCAAAGCCAGTTGAAGATAAGTCTTTCATTAGGTAATTAGAATCAACTTGAACTTGGTCAGGAAATAGTAAACATCTTTTTGGAATAATTGATAGCATGACAGGACCGTTTAGTGGAAGAATATGTCGACAAGGTATGTTGTAATTAATACGTGATTCACACAAACAAGCCTGATACGTAGTAATACTAAGAAGCTCATTCTTGATCTTATTCAAAGCAAATTGCGCTACCCTTCCTAAAAGTGGCTTTAATCGATTCTTATCATCCCATGTTAATAGAGGGTCAATATTCACACTTTCATTTTCATATTGTAATGAAAGTTCCTCATAATGCAAACGTATCCATCTATCTAATGAATTAAAAGATTTCGTTAAACTTCCTGAAGTCTCAATGGCATGTTTCATAGCCGAATGTGCACCTTCAACACGTTGTGTAGTTGTAGCGCCGAGGTGCATTATTCTGCTTGTGTAAAGTCCAACCCACTTATTTTTAACTTTCATCATCCTATAAAATTTAAATATATATAGTATTAAATAATGATATATACAAAATATAATGTATATCAACTTTATATTTAATTTGATATAATTTGAAAATTGATTTAATATATATACTTCCCTGTCAAAATATTTTATTACCTCATTCGCATTGAAACTTGATGCAGCCAGTACTTAATATGAAGCGATTGCCAAATTTAATGCACCATAATCTCTCAAATGGATAATACGATCTACGATTTTTATAATTTCGTCATAAGAATTATCATCGAAGTGTTTTCTTAAATTCTTTTTGAAATTATTCAAAACATGCCAGGTACACAAGAGATTTTCAGATTGAGGAAATACTTTTTTAAGGGCGCCAATAAGTGCAGCGTCGTTATCCGTAACAAACACAAGTGGAGAAATATCAAAAAAAATAAGCGAGGCAAGCTTTTCAACCACCCAAATATATGACTTCTCAGATTCATCTGAGATCCAAGCACCGGCAATTCCAAAGGTTTGTAATCGGTTAACCCCAAGATTACTAATACCGACGAAATTTACAAATGGCAGTTTGTAAACATTCGTCTTGTAGGTTGCATCAGCTAGAACAACTTCTGGAAAGCGCCTAGCCATCTTAACTGAATTTTCATGACAGAAAAAAAGATGTTTGATACGTCCATCTGTATTAATTTAATATTATGTAAGAATTTTTAAAATAAATTTAATAAAATAAAAATAAAACGTAGAAATATTTACCTTTTTGATCTTCACGACGAACGCTATATCCTCTTTTTTCCATACCTACTATTAGTGCCTCCATCGAGGCATTTTCCTCTGAAATATGAATTCGTGAACTCAAATTTAAAATATCTCGTCTAGTTGCAATTGGTTCCCATTCTCATCTCTAATGGCTTCATAAATTGTACTAGGTTTTGCCCCAGCTTTTAACATTTGCACAGCTGTGCGTTTGGCTTCTTGTGTTAACCGATGATGTTCATGAAATACTCTTGCATCTTTAGCCTTAGGATGATTATGCTTATTTATTACTTCAACAACTTTCCATTTAGAGTCTTTTGGGATGGCCTTTAATAAATATGGGCACCCACAACGCTTGCTCATCCTTTTTTTTTGACGTGTATCTACTGTTAGATTAGAGGTATTCTGGGGCTGACCACCACGTTTACATTGAAGATATAAGTGACGATGGCTACTACTTTTGATCGTTACAGCAAACCCAGAATGTCAAGCTATTTCCTAGACAACATTTAAAATATCTTTTTTGGTAGTGTAAATTTGCCCAAGCATTCCACAAGCTACAATAATAGACAAAAGCATTAAAAAATAATTAATGTGAGCTATTATAATATATTTTACATTTCTTTACTTCTGGTTTCAAATTTTTCTTCATTTTCTTTATTGGATTCGATTTTATTCTCATCAATAAATTTATTCTCATCATCGTCTTCCTCATTAAACTCAATTTGGTTATTTTCGTTAGATCCGAACTTATTTAGATTCTCAAGATCGTTCATTTTATGACAAGAAGTAAACGTCTGGTACTACTATATTCTAGGTAAGAGAGATATCTTGGGTCACGTATAAGCTTTTTTGCCTTTACTGATTTATTTAAATTTTTTATTTAAAATTTTTATCACATACAATTAAAATTATTAATAAGCTTTCGATTACGTTATTTATCGATCTTATGCATCATTATTATTGAATTTTATTCTCCGATCTTTTTAATTTCCGAGGAACAATAGTAACAATCTTTGATATAATCACGTGCATGCACAATTCGCATTTGATTGGTTATCGAGGTATGTTGAAAATGGGGTACTCATGTCGATCATTGTTGTGCCGATAAAGGAGATAAGTCACGTGTATGTTGTGTCGGTATATTTCCCCAAAATCTATGGACAGTTCTTATGGACAGTATGGACAGTAAAATTCACGTGATACTACTAAAAACCAATAGGGGAAACTTAACCTATACCCTGGGGTAGAGGGTCTTAACCTGTGTCTGTCATGTGACTATGGTTATAAAATTAAAC